TACCTTACCTTCATCTTTCACCCCCTTATGCATCTTCATCACCCCCATCCGCATCTTAGGCAAACACAGTCAGTCAGTTCAATCAGTGGCGGCCGGCAATTATCTAAAGCGTTGAGTGTAAACACACAGAAGCTCTTAAGTGGTCTGGCGGAACGGGAGCAAAAATGTTTCGATGTTTTGATTGACAGCGGTAGCCGCAACAGCAGTGATTCTTGCCGACCTTGACTTGATTTCATTCAAATGATTTTCTGCCTGGTCGTCAGCCTGTTTCTCCTCAGAAGAATGAAACACAAAAACAGATACTATTGGTTTGACTGTCCAACTGTCGCTTTATCACCCTACGTCCACTTCTTCCTTCCTTCCCCCTCCTCCTCTTCATCATCTTTAATTTTATTTTCATCGTTATTTTCCTACACCTATTTCTCTATTCCTCTCTGATTTCACCACCATTATCGACATTTATCTCATCACATGCTGATCGACCAGTTTTTAGCTCTTTTTTCACCCTCTATCATAACAATATTTCCCTCTATCTCCATCTCTTTCCCTATCCTTTTTTACCCTCAATGTACACATGCAGCAGCAGCAACTTCAGAATCTCTCTCACTCCATTTTCCGATACCCAATCATCCTGTATTATTATTATTCCGATATTCGATCATCATTTTCCCGGAAAGATATCCTCTATTCCCCCTACCATCACCACATCTGCATTGCAATACACACACAAAACAGCACAAAGACAAATAAAAATGAGAAAAAGAGGATTGCATAAAAAAAGAAAGAAAGAACGTTTCTGAGAAAGGGAGAGAGAGAGAGAGAATGTGATCTGGAAGTGAGAGAATGAAAATGATCTGACTTCAGTTGGTAAGAAGAGTAAAGCACGGCAGAAAACAAAGACACTGCTGCAGAGTTGGTCGCAGTTCAGTGGGCACCGCTGTTCACTTTAATTACAGAGATTGCTTGAGCTGAGCAGATTGAGATCAAGAAGAAGAAGAGGAAGAAGTCGAACACACAGACACACTTGTGAAAGTTAATTTTATTTGTTTTGCGTCAGGCAATCATCGGAGGTGCCTGCTCTCCTTTGCTCTTTCTCTTCAGCAAACAACACATTACCTTACCTTACCGGCTCCGGCGGCGCCTGTCAAATGTTAATTTACATTCCATCCAGTCCCATTCACATTCACACACACTCGAAATCGGCTGATTTGAAGAAGAAGAAGAAGAAGAGGAAGATCTGAGTTTTAGGCGCTTCACTTGGTTTTAATTAAACCACCGCTGCTGCCGCTGCGTTTCTACTTCTACTGAGGGTTCTGCTGTTAGGATCGAGCTAAAGTTCGAATTTCGTAGAAAGAGAACGAGGAGGAGAAAAAGAGAACAAGTTCGCCGTTGCCGATCGTTTCTACGTTTCGACACCAGGTGTCGCGTCGGGTTCTGCCGAAGAAAGATGCGATCGCTCTCTGTGTTTTTGGCTCCAAAAGAGAAAACAGTGAAAGAGCGAGACAGGCAGGCAGCGACAGTCTGCGCGTCAGATCAGTTCAGTTGAGTTCAAGCGGTCTGGTAGCGGCGACAGTGGTCACCAGAGACCAGGCCTTCCTCTTCTTCCACTTCTCTCTCTTTGCCCGTCGTTCCAGCCCAAAATTCTGCTGCTGCAGCTATTGAGTGGAGCCGGCCGAATCGTTTGCCTCTTTCCGCCTCAGCCGTCGCCGTCCGTCGGAGACCACAAAGAAAGAGAGATCGCACCGACTTTGCACAGCCTGAACGCGCGTCTGTCAGTCTGCGAGTTTTCTTTCTCTCCCTTTTTCTCTCATTGGGCGCCGGGGACAACGACATACACACCAACATATACACGGGCAGTGTTCGTGTTGTGTGTTTCTTCTCTGGTGCTCATTGAACTTCCGAAGACTTTTCAGGAGTTTCTACTTTTTGCCGGATTCTTGAAAAGTCTTCTAAATCTCACACTTGGAACTCGCTTTCCACTGATCTCCGCTTTGCCGCTCCAACGTAAGTTGAACTTTTGTGCTTCTATTTTGTTAACTTGCTCGTCAACTTGTTCTCTAAATTGTAACTCTGATTCCCTTGCAGGCACAACAACAGAAAGAAGCCAGTGATCATGGCAGACCTAGTGGCCAACCGAAAGGCGCATCCCTGTGAAGACTGCAGCAAGTCCTTCTCCTCGAGGTAAAAGCATCTGCCTGAATGTCATGACAGCTGTGTCCAGTTGTGTCAAGGGTTCTAAATACCGTCGTTTTCTTTCGTTGACAGCCACCAACTGGTGCAGCATCGACGCATACACACCGGGGAGAAGCCGTATATCTGTCACTATTGTGAGCGTGGCTTCAAGCAACTGTCACATCTCAATCAGCACACCCGTCTGCACACCGGTTCGAAATTGATTACTCTGAGAATCGGCTGTAGAATCGGAATTTATAATCCCCTTTTTTTCTTTGCAGGTGAACGCCCCTACAAGTGCACCGTCTGCTCACGGGCCTTCATTCAGCTGTCAAATCTGCAGCAGCACCAGAAGACACACTCATCGCTGGACGGCTCAAAGCTGACCAAGTCCAGCGAGAAGAACTACCACTGCAGCCACTGCGGTAAAAGCTTCAAAGCTCAGAACTCGCTCATTTCTCACCAGAGCAAGGTATCGAGCTTTGGGCGGCTGACTTATTTTTGTGTTTTTGCACTCTGCTTTTCTCTCGGTTTATCTAACCTTTGCTTTATTTTGGTTTTAGAAACACTCGGAATCTTTTGCTTTGGGTAAGCATAGAGAGAGGGTTTTGCATTGTTTCTACATTGATTAACTTTTGTCTCTCTTCTTGCAGACATGTTTCTCAACAACAACAACGGAAACGGCACTGGCGGCCACAAGAATGATCATCATCAGCATCAACATCAGCCGCAGCGAAAGCAGCTCAAGTTCAGCTGTCAGGTGTGCTGCAAGGCCTACGCCACTGAAGTCTCCTACCGAAAGCATGTGGAGGGTCATCACAATGCTGCTGCCGCTGCCCATAACCATCACCACCATCACAGCAACAACAACAACAACAATGGATCATCCTCGGGCGCCGGGCACCACGACCACGATCATCACCGTCAGCACCAGCAGGATCAGCACTCTCCCCATGGATCCGGCGCCAATAGCACCACGCTGCACATTTGGCCGTGCAACTTTTGCCACTCCATCTTTGCCAGTGAATTCGGTGAGCTCAGTTTTAATTTCAAGTATTTCCTTTGTTTTCCTAACACCTCCACTCTTCTACAGCCCTTCTCTCGCACCTCGAAGAGCAGCGAAACGACCCGAAGCACGTCTTTTCGCTGCTCAACTCTACGACCACCGCTGCCAGCAACAACGGTGTTGGTGGCGGTGGTCATGATTTGGAAGCCGCAGCCGCCGCAGCTGCTGCCGCTGCTGTTGAAGACAGCAAGCACAATGGCGGCAGCAATGGCAAAGTGGGCGGAATCGCCGCCAACATCTCCGCCAACATGCTGCACCAGCAGATGCAGCAGCAGCAGCTAAACCGAGGCAGCTCCCTGGAGGACAGCTGCAGCACCACTGCCCACTCGATGAGTCCGCCCGTCGATGAGCAGCAGCAGCAGCAGCAGCAACAGCAGGCGATTGAGGCTGCAGGCGGATACTGAAAAAATGAGATCGAACTGAATCTAGGACTGAAAGGTCTGACTTTTCAATGTAATTGAAGCAGACGTTTTTACTCGCATGAAATTCCCCAACCTTTATCTCTCTCTCTTCTTTTGTGTACAAACCACACTACTGTTACTGATTAGTGAGCCACTCTCTCTCTCTCTCTTTCATTTTTCATTCTGCTATTCTGTATTCTCTCTCTCATCTCTATCTCTTTCTCTGCTTTCCGCACACCACAACTTTTGCTGCTACTGACAACTTTCCTTTTATGTTGTTTTTCCCCTTTCTAACTGATAACCTCTTTGGCTAGATGTATCTTTTCTGTGCACAACTTCGGCTCTTCTCTCCCTCCCTCCATCCGTCTCGCTCTATTCCGCTCCTTCCTAGCCCTTTCTAGCCCATCCGTGATCTGTGCTGCACAACTTTGAACATCATCATCATCACATCTTATCTTGCCAAAACTATTCTCTCTCCTTTCCGATCTCCTCTTCCTCACTCCACTGGTTTGACTGGTCACTGTCCCGCCCCTCTCCGCCCCTCCTGTGATAGCTATTCTCTCTGCAATATCTCTGAAACATCAGCTGAAAGTATCTGACTGAAGTGAATGAAAGGAAAAGGAAGATGAGAAGGAGAGGAACTCCACAACTGTAAATGATGATGGTGGTGGTCGCAATTAGGATGTGCTGTCCACTCCCCTCTTAAACACACACAACTTTTATTCGCCCTTTTGGAAATCCCCAAGGAAAAACTTCCAGTAGCAGCTTTCACACCCACTCACAAACAACAGCCTTCCGCAACAGCATCAGATCATCCGCTAGGCAACAACTGACCATATTTGAATAAATCGGAGCCAAATTGAATGGAAAACTCATTTGAGCTAAAGATCGGAACGATGCCCAACTAGCCATGAACATTGTTATGGGATGATGGTGGTGGTGACTGTACAAACTCGCCCAACACTGCTGCCGTACAAGCACTCACAGTGTACGGTTCGCCAGTGCTGGGGAATTCCCCCGTTCTCTGCGGAGCAGAACGGGAGCACAGTTCCGAATGCGGGAAGAGAATCTCGGACAGGCGCATTGACGCGCGCGGACGGGATTCTCTTTCTTTCTTAACGAGGCACACACCGACAGACTATAGAGTATCTCACACTCTCACTCTCTTCACGAGCTCAATTGTCAATCTGTCGGACGACAGCCAACAACAGAAAGTGAAAGAGACAGACTGAAGATTGAAGCCAAAAAGAAAGCATCCACGCAGCAAACACAGCTGCAGCAACGGAAAGAATCTACAGAAAAAAAGAATCCAAAAAGAATGCCACACGCCGAATAAAGAAGGCAAGACCAAAACCAAAACAATGAACAATCACGAGTTTCACATGATCAACGAGGACCAGCTGCGAGCGGCGGCGGCAAAGGGCGTCGGAGGAGCAGGCGCCACTGAAGAAGGGGCGGCGGCGGCTGCTGCTGCGGCAGTTGCCGCCGAGGCAGCCGCCCCCAGCTACCTGCAGAGCTACCTGAACTCGGGCGTGGGCGTCGGAGGCATCGGCTGTGGACCCGCCTCTGTCCTGCCCGAGCTGATCAGTGGTATGACCACTGTGGATTACCAGCACCAAGGCCTGAACCGAGCCACCAGCGGCAGCAGCCCCACCTCCATTCCGCCCATCCTCTCGTTGAAGCATCCCTTTGCGAGCTTCGGCACCAGCAAGATGCACGCCGATGGCAGCTACAGCCTGGCACCCGTCACCATGAAATATCGGTGAGTGGAGGTGGTGATGATGAAGTTTTCCAAGGTTTAACCACCTCTTTTCTTTGATCTTCTTTGCAGGAACATCGGCAAGAATGGCCTTCGCGTGCCGCTGCTCGCCTTTGCCGCCTGGCAGTGTTTTGGTCAGCTGGACGAGGCGGTGGCTGACTCCGTTTTGACGACTGCCTATGAGGTCAGTTGGTGGTGGTGATGGTGGTGAAACCTGATAATAATGATCTCGTCTTCCTCTTCAGAACGGCATCAACTACTTCGACACGGGGGACGCCTTTGCGGGCGGCGCCGCCGAGGTGATGCTCGGCTCGATACTGAAGCGCAAAGCCTGGCGCCGCAGCAGCTACATCGTCAGCAGTAAGCTCTTCTGGAAGGGCGGGCCCTCGACCCACCTGGGCGGCGGCCTCTCCCGTAAGTTCATCATCGAGGCGGTGGAGGCCTCGCTGCGGCGGCTGCAACTCAAGTACATCGACATTCTGATCATCCACAAGCTGGACGCAATGTGTCCCATGGAGGAGATTGTAAGAATGAAGAAAGACCTTGTTGCTGCTCTAAACCGCACTCACCAATGTTCTATTTCTATTCCCACCCCACCCCCAATCACGACCAGGTGCGAACCATGTCGTACCTGATCAAGAACGGTATCATCTTCTACTGGGGCTGCTCCCGTTTCGCGCCGATGCACCTCTCCGAGGCCTTCTGCATCGCCCGCCAGTTCAACTGTCCGCCGCCGATTGCCGAGCAGATGCTCTACGACATGAACGTTCGCGAGAAGATGGAGCTGCAGATGCTGGAGCTCTTCCACAAGTCCGGCATCGGCTGCATCACCTGGTCGCCGATCTCGCTCTCCAACGACCCCGGCATCGTTCTACTGACTCGTCGGCAGACCTTCTGGGGCAGTGGACTTGGAGGGGGCGGGGGAGGCTATTTCGGCGCCACCACCGCCAAGTGCACCGAGCTGGTGAAGTTGTGCGCGAAGTTGGGCTGCGACCTGACGCAGCTTTCGCTCGCCTGGTCGCTGCAGAATGAGAACGTCAACACGGTGCTCATCACCGCCAGCTCCGTTCCGGAGCTTTTTCAGAAGTTGAATGCCATCAAGGTGGGTCATCTTCTGTTACGAGCTTTAAAAGGTGGTCTTCTAAATGTTAATCCCCTGTTTCCCATCAGCTCTACTCCCTCCTCAACACCTCCATCAACGAGGAGATTGAGCGCATTTTGCAGAACAATCCCGTGCTGAAGCGGCAGATGGCCAAGACGCCTTCCATCACCGTCGATGTGCCAGAGCCGACGGTAGGTAGTGGTGATGGTGATGAGGCTGAGGAGGTAGGTGATTGAAGAGATTGATGACCTCTTCAGAAAACCTCGAAGACAGCCCCTCCTCCTCTTTGAGGGCACCAATATCATCACCGCATATATCAGTTGTTTACCTCCAAACCACCATCCCCAACTTATCATCATCTCATCCCTAAGTTAACTTGTTCTTTTATTTAGTTCACTCAATTATGTACAGATGAAGTGACGTTTTAATGTTGTTGTTGTCGTTGTCGTTGTGCACCTTCCTCTGTTTCCTCTGTTGTCTTCTACCTTCTCCTTTTCTTCATCCTTTCCCCTTGTTGCTGCACAAAAAGTAAAGACAGTGCACTCTCTTTTGGTCCAAAATAACTCGCAGAAAAATCCGTACTTGATCCTTTCTTCCTCACTCACTAACTGCTGACCGCTGGTGGTGGTGGAGGAGGTGGCGGCGGTGGTGGTGGTGGAGGAATCATTGAATTTCCCATCATCGGCGGAGGAGGCGGCGGCGGTTGCATCATCGGCGGTGGTGGAGGAGGTGGTGGTGGGAAGAGATGCTGTTGCTGCTGCTGATGATGAAGCTGCTGAAGAGACGGAGGCGGTGGTGGAAATGGTGGCCATCCACCACCGGCACCGCCGGCCATCATGCCCATCGGTCCCATGACCATTGGATTGAAGGCGGCCATGTGATTCAGGTGGCTCAGGTGGTTCATCGCTTGGGCGTGGGCGTGAGCGTGCGCCATGGCCGCCATGTTGGCCATTGGGTCGTCGCCTACGCCGGGAACAGCAGACTGCGGTGGGGGCGGCGGAGGCATGCCACCATAGGCGAACATTGGCGGCGGCGGAGGCGCGTGGCCGAGGGCATTGGGCGGCATCAGCGACGGCGGTGGTGGCGGAGGCGGAGCTCCCATCAGTCCTGGAACGACAGCTGGCACGGCCATCGGTGGGATGACCATCGTCGGAACGACTGCAGCGGCGGTTGCAGCCACTGGGACCACGCCGACGCCATTGGGCGCCGTCGGTGGTGCGTCCGCAAATAGCTGATGCGGTCGATCGGCCTGCGCCAGCGGGTTCTGTGCGGCGAGAAGGCGCTCCGCGGCCGAGCCGTGCCGCTCGCCCTTGGCGTCCTTCTTGAAGGCGTAGCTGATGGTGATGGGTCGGTTGCAGAGGTACTGGCCGTTCATCGCCTCGATCGCCGCGTCCGAGGCGTCAAAGGAGGCAAAGTTGATGAAGGCGTAGCCCTTTGAGTTGCCCGTCTCCGGGTCGCGCATGATTTTGGGCGTCTGGAGGATGACGCCAAAGGCGGAGAAGGTGTCGTACAGCAGCTTTTCGTCCACCTCCGGGTCGAGGTTGCCGATGAAAACGTTCGCGCCGACGTCGAGGTTCTTCTGGTGGGCGCTCGCCTTGTTGACGCGGATCGGCTTTCCGTACAGCTTGATCATGTTCATTATTTTGATGCCGTAGTCGGCGTCCTCCTCGCTGATGAACTCCACGAAGCCGTAGCCCTGGTGCTGGTTGGTGACGCGATCTTTCGGCATGTGAACGTTCACCACCGGGCCCGCCTGCACAAAGAGCTCCCACAGCGTGCCCTCGTTCACCTTCTCGTCGAGGCCGCCCACGTAGATGGTCGCGTCCTGGTTCCGTTCGGCGATCGGTCCGGCGGCCATGGTCGAGCACTGCTGGTGAAGGCGGTGATGATGATGTAATTTATGTGATAATGACTCTTGATGCCGGCATGAAGAGACAACAAACACTAAAAAAAATCGGTTTCTGTTTTTTTTGGCGGCTAAGCCGACACACACCGATAAAGCACGTCGCGGGTTGGGTGGCAATAGACGCTGAAATGGTGCGGCGAAAATTAGGCGCTCTTTTCTTGCTTTCTCGACTTTGACTTTGGAAAACTTGTCAAAGACAACTTGGTGACGCCCACCACCTGAAGACCTGGACCTAAGCATCAACTCATGAACTCCTGATTCCCGGACACATTGAAACGCTATCTACCGGTAAGTAGGAACAATCCACTTGCTTTTATTTCACAACACTTTGGCGGCTAAATATAACAGAAAAAACATCTTTGCGCTCGATTCACGCGGTAAAAAGCGATAACAAAAATAGACAACTTTGATGCTTTTGATGCGATTTGAGGGTGATGATATGAAAAGTGGTGTTTTTGGTGCTTTGTTTACTGCTGTTTTGTCGTCGTGTTTGAGCTGTTGCCGTCGTACTCCTTGAGCGTCCAGAGCAGGATGGAGCCCTCAAAGTTGCAGTCGACCACCAGCGTCTCTTTGGGGCTGATCTTGATGTCCGTCACGCTGCCGCCGCCTTGTCGGTACTCGAAGAAGGCCGCCTGCAAAGGAAAAAAAAGATCAAGAAAAAAAACTTCCCAAAATCCATTATCATCTAAAAGTTACATTGGTCTGCAGACACGGATAGGAGAAGAGGCGCACGAAGCCGCTCTCATCGCCCGTGACGATGTACCGCAGCGACGGACTGTAGTGATTGCAGATGTTGATGACGTTCTTCAGCCGCTCATTGTCCCACGTGCCGCGCGCGTCTTCAAGCCCACTGCAGGTGGCATTGTGCCAGCGGAGGTTATCCGAGAAGTTGGTCACATTCCGAATGTAGCGCGTGTTGTGCAGGTCCCAGAGAATCAACTCCTGGTAGTTGTCTGTCGGAAAGCAAAGAAGTTCAAGAGGTGTTAGAACTGAAAGCTGTTCTACACAAACAAAGCAACATCTCATCTTACTGTCATCCACCGACGTGAGAATGAACTGCGTGTCCACCGACCACTGCAACGTGAGGATGGGCAGCGGACCCTGGGAGCAAAAAACCGGGCTTTAAAACCAACTAATCAACGCCTGTCTTACCTTGAGGACCGAGACCTTGCTGTAGGTGAAGCCATCGTCGGTGACCGGCAGCACGTGAAGACAGCCATCCTGGCAGCCGGCCACCAGGAAGCTGCCGTCGGCGGAGTAGGCCAGACAGCCGATGCAGACGCCGGCGCTGATCTCGAGGTGGTGCACCAGCTCGCCGGAGACGCAGGCGAGGATGCTGATGATGCCGTTCACCGAGCCGATGGCCAGTATCTGCCCGCCCGGGTGCACCGCAGAGGAGATGGCCTGCACCTGAGGATGCAGTGATGATGACGCAATTTAGAAATGGAAAACACTGCAAATCCCTTCGATCACTCACGTCAATGGTCGTCCGCCAGACGAGCGCCCCGGTGCTCCACTTGCACACCTTCTGGTCAAGGGAGGCAGTGTAGAAGAGGTCCTCCTGCGGGTCGAAGGCGATGCTGCGGATGGCCATGATGTGACCCTGAAAGAGAAGGGGGAAATTTGTTTATTTACGCTCAACACCCACAAGGCTTATCTCAAGAGTGTCTCAAGTTACCTCAAAGACAATGTCGTAGCTGGTGGACTGCAGCGCCGAACCGCGCAGGAGAAAGTTCTCCGTCGTGCCGACAAAAACCTCCATCAGGCCAGCGCCTTCATCCTTGTCACCACCGTTTCCATTTTTCTTAAAACCCTTTTTTACCGGGGCCACCGCAGGCGGCAAGGCCACCGAGGCGACCGCCCCGCAGAGCGCCGACAGTTTGATGGCGTTCAGCAGGCGAAACTCGCCCTCGCCGCCCACGTCCCAGGTCTTGATGGCGCCCGCCGCGTCGGCGCTGACCAGCAGGTGCTCCGGCGTGAGCACCAGCGCCGTCAGCGGCGCTTCGTGGCCTTTGACCTCCTTGACGGCGAACTCCAGGACGGCGTTCACCTCAAAGGGCGCCCAGATGGTGAGGTGGCCGGTGGCGTCGCCGGTGAGCAGGCTGTTGTCGCCCAGGAAGTCGGCGCAGTGGATCGTCTTCGACAGTTTGGAGTGCTGGTCGAAAGGTGTGAGATGTGGATTAGGTTTAGGATAACTTTTTTTTGTTTTTTATACCGTCTGTAGAGCTGTGCGATAGTCCATCGTCTTGTCCTGGTGCAGGTGCCAGACGACCTGGTTGGGTTGGAAGAGTTTTAATTGTAACTGTTTGAGGCATTACTTGTTACCCTTACTAACCAGATGCATCTTCCCGTAGGTGACCATGATGTCGCCCTCCACAGGGTGCACCGTCCCCCCAAAGACCGACTCGTCGACGTCCAGCGTTTTCTGCCAAAGAAGTTATCACCTTTAAAATATCTCATCACCCTCAGCACCGACTCACCGAAGCACTGGCAATCACCTTGCCGGCATTCCAGTTCCATACTGAGATGTTCAACTTCGGATCGTTGCTCACCACGAAGAGGTAGTTCTGGTTGTGTGGTTGAACAGGTTGATTAGAACTTATTGGAACTTTTTCGGTCAGCACACTTACCGCCACCGTGAACTCCATGTCGGTGATTTTAGGCGCCAGCGAGCGGTCGCCTTTGAGCACGGCCACGGTGGCCAGACTTTTGACGGACCAGATTCGGATTAGCTGAAGAAGACATTGTCAGTCAGTTCAACCACTTCAATCAACAAACAGCAGCATCATCATTTTACAACTTACCGACATCTTTGAAGAGGCGGCGTTGACCAACTGACCGGTGGCGACGTACTGCGACTTGCTGTCCACTCTCATTCTGTCAAAGGAAAAACAATGCACTCATCAGCAAAGGTAGGTGTACACCCCTTTCCTTTCTTTTCATATTCCCGTGTAAATACATGTAAATATCGCCGTCGTGTTCGGCGTAGAAGCGCTGGCTGTTGCTCTGCAGGTGCCAGAGCACCGCAAAGACGCCCGAGGTGAAGAGCAGCTCGCCAGTGGCGTTCAAGTGGAAGAGGTTTTTGCGTGTTTGGCCGTTGTAGCCGAAGCTTTAGAGAAGGAGATTTTTAGAAAAATGAAAGTTTTTTCAAACTTTTATGTTGCACTTACACTCTCGACAGCTCTAAGTGGCGGTTGGGCACGTTGACGCCCTTGTGAAGGTGCTTCTCTGGCTTGGCTCTTGGATGCTGTAGGGCGGGCGCCTTGTTGCTGCTGCTGTTTTTGAGGATTGTTTTGTTGTCGTTGCTTTCTTCATTTAAAACGGTCTTTTTTGCTGGTTGAGCTGCTGCTGTAGCTCGGGAGTTTATTCCCGTTGCCCTTGTGGAACGCTCCACACGTGGACTGACGCGTGAGCAGGCCGCGGTTGAGTTTGTTGAACTTCGGTTTGAGCTTTGAGAACTAGCTGTGCTGGTTTTGTTTCTTCCGACGGTTTTAGGAGTAGACTTGGTTTGACTCTTTTCTGAAATAACGGTTGAAATGACTGGTGATGGCATGACCGCCTGCTTACTACTTTGAAGCAGTCCATTGTTGGCCACTTTGGCGGTGATGGTCGGTTCGACGATGGGCACCAGTGAGTGCTGGTCATTTTGAAGTGGGAGCACTTTGGGAGGCGTTGTCATCGTTTTGCTGACGTTTACCACACTTTCTATTTCTACTACTTTTGGTGGAGTTCGCTCTACCTTGGCCCTTCTTTCAGATAGCGTCGGCTCGACAATGGTCGCCGTTGAGCGAACCTTCATCTTTGATTCAGGTGGTGAGGACTTTTGCAGAAGGACATTCGTCGTTGGCTGTTGTCGTAGCGCCGGTTTTAGTGTTGGTTGTGATGGTTTTTTGTTAGCTACTGTTCCGCCTACTCCTCTTTCTAGCAATCCTTCACTTTTGATTTGATTTGAAGTCTCCTGGAGCATTCGCTCGGCGTACGCCTGAATCTGCTCGTACTTGGCGTCACTGAGCTGCTCTAGGGAAAAGGACACTTTGTTTGCCTCCAACAGGCGTTCCTCTTCCTTTTCGGCTGCTGCTACTGTAGATTTTCGAAGGCTTTCACGACTTTGGCTGATTGATCGGTGACGTTGGAGATCGACCTTTTTTTCGGGTACCAGTTGAGCAGGAGGAGGTAGAGGAGGAGGAACGATTGTTGGTATTTTTGATGGCACAGGCTCACCGGTTTCTAAGGTGTTGTGGCTTTTCTGTTGTTTGCTAGATTTACTGTTGCTGCTGCTGTGCGTTGGAATGTGCGTGGAAGACTTTTTGGAGCCAGTTCTTTTGAGGGGCTTTGGCTGCGGTGTACTGTTGATCTGATAGGTGGCCACGTCGTTTGACTTTTGCCACGTTTGCTGCTGCTGTTTCCTTTCCGTTTCCCATGGATTTGGAAGGTGCGAAGAGGGTGGGCCACTTAGGCCAAAGTTGTGGTGATGATTTTGATGGTGATGCTCTCGAAGGTCGACGTTGCTGCTGCTCGTTCCTAGAGGGTGATGGTAGTCTGCCCGAGAGAGGTCATTCAGTCGCTGGACGCTGCTCTCGAGGAACTTCTCAATCGACTCGAGCGAGTGAAACTTGGTGAGAAGCTGCAGACGCTCCTGGCCCCGCTCGCTGTCCACGTAGAAAAGGTCCACGTGGGCGAGGTCGTGCTTCAGGTGGGAGACGCTGCGAACCTAGAAACAGAGAGAAAAAAAATTGCATTTCGATTTCCCTCAATTCTATTATTATCACTTACCTCCAGTCCTGACGAGGTGAACATTCTCCGGGGAACGGTCATCCGGACCGCCTGCCCCAGGTCGCGGAGCATCGTGTCGAAGGACTTTGGCGAGCGGAGGTTCAGTATCACCCGCGAGCTGATGTGGTGATTCTGATTGTTGACGATGGTCACCAGGCGACTGTCGGCGTCTTTGCTGTTCGAAGTCGGATGCGGATGGGGGTGATTGGAGGAGTTTTGATAGTGAGGAATTCGAGTACTAGGGTAGGCGCTGTTTCCGTTGACCGTCGCGTAGACGTTGTTGTACTTTGAGGAGAGGGGTCGAAGCAGACGGAGGTCATCCTCTCGCAGCAGCTTGTACCTCCCGCTGATGTGACTGATGCGAGGGGCGTTTGACTTGAGCAGCCCATAAGGGTGGGCGTGGAAGGTGCGCCCTCCGGAGAGGACGTACTCCTGGTCGTGCTCCAGCTCGTCGAGGGTGGTCACCCTCCTCCCCGTAGTGGTGAAGACGTACTGGACGCCGCCGAGCAGCGCCTCGGGCGCCTTCTCTGTGGTGAGGTAGGCGGCCAGCTGCTCCAGCGTGGAGAAGTCCCGGGCGCCGATGGAGACGGTGAGGCGGGGGGCGTAGGGGGCGCCATTCTGGTAGAAGTGCACCTTTTTGGCTCGCCGGCCGGCGGCGTCTTTGAGGGCTCGAGAATGGCCATCTTTGTGGCTGTTTGAAGATGGGTGATGCTGTTGACCGGAAGAAGAGGAAGTCGAAGTTGAGGAGGTGGAGGCGGTGTTGGTGTTGGTGTGTTTGCTGCTACTGTTACCGTTGCTGGTGATGGCCACTTGGGAGGCGCACATGGCAGCGGTAAGGAGGAGAGAAGTTGTTATGAAGACTCGCGCCGTTGTTTTCTCCTCGACTGGTCTCTAGTGCCGCTGCTGTGTGCTAGTTGTAAAAGGCAAACTTTTTCTCTCTTTTTTCAAGAGTCGTCTGGTCGAACTACTGCTGCTGCTGCTGTTTGTGGTGGTCGAGGAGAGGTGACCAGGCGGTAAATTGCTTTCCATTGTGGTGGTCGTGGTCGTCGTCGTTGGTTGCCTCTGCCGCCACCACCGATGGCGGCTAGTGGTCATTTCTGTTGCTGCTGCTGACTTCATTTCATTTTCACAACGACAGGCATAATGAGATTATTCAAATTGTCTGCGGTGCTGCTGCTGTCGTTGCTGGACAGGTAGGCAATTAGACTGCTGGCAGACGATATAGACGCCCTCAAAACGGGGGCTGCTGTGCTGGTGATGACGATGACCACGGTGCACTCTTTGTACGGCTGCTGCTGCTGTACCAGCAGTGTTCAGGCTGGGAAATGTTGTCCCTCCATGTTTGGAGAGATGGTCGTCGCTTCTTGACCGCTTCTTTTTCTTTTTTCCCTATTTTACTTTTGCTGTTTCTGCTCTCTCTCTCCCATTCACTTCCGTCAGTCAGTTTGGCTCGCTCACCTGTGTTGCTGCTGGTGCCTGCCAACGCGCACTTGCCTGACAACGCCAGCGGTTCGGTGGTTTTAGTGCTTTAGGTGCGCTTCTCTTTCTCTTTCCAGTCGTCGGCCATTCAACATGTTTTGCATTCGTAATCGCCGACGGACCGCTCGGTGCTCTACTTTCTCTTACTCTCGTTTATTTGGTTCTCTACCGTCACCAGATCTCTTTCAGTCAGTCAGACAGAGTCAGTTGTGCTCATCTCACAAGTGCTTCTGCTTCTGTTCTATAGGCTCAAAGTCCGATTTTTCCGGTCTTTTTTCCCAGCAGCAGACTTATTATTAGATTTCGGTGCAGTGGGGGTGGCATCAGGATTGCTCTGAATGGTTTCGATGATGAAGTGGCAGTGGTGATCTAGATGAGGAGAAGGAGACTGAGAGCACTGAAATTATGTGCTGCTGATAATCGGCCCGCAGTGCACCAACATTCGTACAAAAGCACAAAGCAATGTTGTACCGTACGGTAGCTGAAACTGATTGTACAGCTACCCTTTTCTCTCTCTTTCCTCTAATCAAATAACTCTTCTGCACCAGCGTCAGATTCCTTTGCTACTGCTCTTCGGACTGACCGCCTCGCACATTCATTAGCGCCGGTAATTGCACCTGAATTGACCAGTAGCAGCAGCAACGGCAGTAGTGCGTGCAGAATTAATGGTCGCCACTGACTGGACCAGAAGCTGCAGCCGGAGCAGTAGCTCGAGTGGGTTGCCCGTGTCACTCTGCTGGCAAAAGTGTGTGTGTGTTCATTTGAGGGCTCAGCTCAGCTCCGATTCACTCGCTCGCAAATGATAATTAGGCTAATGAATGAACGGAGAATGTGTCTTCTCTTCTTCCTCCTCTACTCTTCAGTTCTGGCCACCCTGGGGCCTTGCTGATCAATAATGCATATTTTCTTCTACCTAAGCCGACCCACTGACTAATCGAATCTGCACCTGCAGTGTAGTGGTCAGTGGCAATTGCAATTGTCCTGTGCTGTGTTTCACCAGCAAACGTAATTGGCGTCATTTTTCACCATAAACAACAGCACCAGCAGCAGCAATTGCTGTGCTAGTGTAACGACCTGCTGCTGTCTCATTGTGACTGCTGCAATCATTGACGCCGCTGCGTCAGTCTTGGTGCTAGAATGAATCGCTCCCTCACTCAATGTCACTTTCCAGTGTTTCAAAAGAAGAAATGTGATATCGCTAATAGCAGCAGCAGTAGTAGGGTAATAGTGTGTTCCAGTTTAATATAATATTTACGCCTAATGGTGGTATATTTGAGAAGTGTATGAGTGTCCGTTTCTGTGTCTTTGTATGTGACAAGTTTGCGTTGGGTGAATATTCTGTTGAATATAGTGTGTGTGTGTGCTCTCTCGTTTCTTTTGTTTGGGCTAAAGAGTGGTTTGCTGGCTGGGCTGTTCTGAATGCTCCAAGTGTCAAAATGTTATTGTAAGTCAATAGTGAGTAGTGTGAAATGAGTAGTAGTGATAGTGATAGTGAGTGGGTCAATGAGAAAGAGAGGGTTTGGTGTTCCGAATTGCGAGTTTCCCTCCCTCCTTTTTCCGTTCCGAGCCCGGATCGATAACTGATTAGTGAGTGTGTACAAGAGAGAAAATTGAGAATAGGTGAGAGAAGGAAGGAAGGAAGGAACGTGGGAATAGTCAAGAACTAGGAGGAGTAGGAAAGGAAAGGGGAGAACAATAGAAAGAGAAGAGAATATGTATATCACACATGCACCGAGAGAAAGAGAGAGAAAGTCCTTAAGTAAGTGTCGTATATCGCGATGAGATAGAGCAGCAGCAGCTGACCCGTAGAGCAGACCAGTGTGGGTATTGTGTGTATTTGTTAATCCTAGATCCCCTTCGGTTACAACTTGCCAGCAGCAGCTGCTGCGGCCGCAGCCGCTGCCGCCGCTGCCAGGTTGCTAAAAGCCGTCAGTCCGGCGGCCTGGCTTCCACCAACACCACCACCATGAATGTTTCCGCCACCGGCGGCAACATTGAAGGGCTGCGGCTGAGGTTGTGTGGTCAGTCGAGAGAGAATCACTGAAAAGGAAGAAGAAGAAAGTGTTAGTTTTTGTAGACGCTAACTTAAACTTCACCTAAAACTCCACCACTTACCTCGTTCCGACATCTGCAGCCGCTGGCTGACGGAGGGAATGCGCACCAGTGCGGCGGGCAGGCGACTCGCGTCCGACTTCATGTCTGACAGCAGCTCCTCCAGCTGGTTGAGCACCTTGTGGAGGACGGCGTTGACCGGCTTGCTGGCCAGCAGCGACTCGCCCTGCTTGGCCAGCTCGCGGTGGGACTCTGCGAGGCACTCCAGCTCGCTGAAGCGGCTGTTCAGCGCCATCACCGGGTGGTTGAGATCCTGCGTCAGGTTGAGGTAGGCGGCCCGCCGCAGCTGCTCCTCAATCACCAGCGCCTGCTCCAGCAGCTTGAAGCGCCGCGCGAGGAACTTGTTCTTGATCTCCAGAAAGTTGCCCTTGCCGGCGTCCATCTTGAAGGGCTGAGATGATGTGTGAGAGAAGTTTAGTTTTGTAATAGAACACTTTAAAGAATGTCTTTCTTACCTCATTGATAATGCTAAAGATGGGATCATTCTGAATGTCCTGCCATCGGCCGTAGCCGTGCTTGATGATGCCCGCCAGGAGCCAGTAGTCGTGCCGGCGGTGCCAGATCTCCATCTCCCGGTTCGGCACTGCCGCCTTCTCCTCGTTTGCCCACAGCGAGTGCAGCTCGGTGAAGCCGCCTAAAAAGAGTTGTTAGTTTGTATTTAAACTCTTAGCTAGCGCTTTCACTTACCATCGGCAATGTTGAAGAGAAACTTGCCTACCTTCTTCTGCTCGCTGCTGATGGCCGCCAGCAGCTGCTGCTGTTTGCTGCTCACCCCTCCTCCGTTTTCCAGGTTGTTCGCCTCGCTGTTGGTCAGGTTCTCCTTGTTGTCCTTTTCCTCTTTCTCCTTGCTGTCCTTGCCGCCGCTCTTTGAGGAGGCCTCGTCCTCCTTGGCCACTACCGGCGACTCCTTGGCTTTTGAGCTCAAGTCATCGGCATTTGTCTCACCGTCGTCATCATCATTTTCCTCCTCCTCCTTTTTGATTTGAGGCGTTGGAGTTGCCGATGAGCTGGGCCCCGATGAGCTCTGGTCAGCGCCCTCTTCCGCCGCCGAGCCAGAGCCGTTTGTGGAAAGTCCTTCTCCGCCGTTGAGTCCTCCTTCCCCACTACCTCCATCCAGTCCGAGGATGGCGTTGAGAATGCTGACATGGCCGTTGGTGTGCTCAAACTCAGTCACCTTCTTCCTGATCAGCGACATGACGCCGATGCGCGTCAGCACGTGCTGCCGACTGATGCCCTCCCGGGGGACGCCGTCGGCGAAGGTCTCCGCGTGGTCCGCCCCCGGCTCGCAGAGGTGGCGCATAAAGAGCGACACGTAGGCCCAGAAGTTGCGCTCCGACTTGCCGCGCAGATCGCGCACCAGCCACTGGCTGTTGAAGGCGTCTTGCGGCGGCATTCCGTAGCGCATGATCGCATTGAAGAAGGCCTTGCGCTGGCGAGCGTTGAAGCCCAAGACCTAGTAAGATTGAAGAAAAAATTTGTTAGTGGATCCCTTTAAAACGGAGTTCCAGCTCTTAAGTGCATTCTGTTTTCTAAAAATCCACCGAGTGATTGCTTTTCGACACTGCTGTTGCAGTTCACTGAGCAGGACAAAAGAACTGGTTATCTCCGAAATGAGATCTTCTTTTATCCCGCAGTGGAAATGTCGGAAAAGATAGCGATAACTATCTACAACACTCACCTCAATACTGCCGCCCACGCGGGCGAGCAGTGGCGGCAGCGGGCGGTCCTTTTCATTGCGGCCCTTGCGCCGGAGAAAGCCCTTCTCCTCGCGATTGTCGTCGTACTCGTCGTCTTCGTTATCGTCTGGTGAGTTGGGAAATGAAGAAAGCGGGTTAAATTCAAATTCAATCTCAAAGTCTATAACCACTCAGTTCTTACCTGAGTTCGCCGAAAAGTCCGAATTGTAGTCGGAGACATTCTCTTGCCAGTTCTGGTCGTCCTGTGAGCCTCCCAGGTTACTTCCACCACCGCCTCCTCCGTCATTGTAGTTGACCTGCTTTCTCAGGCGCTTTCCCTTTCCGAGCGTCCTCGCCAGGTCCTCCTGCTGCTGCTCGTAGTGGTGGCGGAGCAGCTTCTCCCAGTAGGCGGGGTCGGCGCTCTCCGCCTCCTGCTTGAGAATCTCCGTCTCCGGGCCGTCCTCCTCCTCCTCCTCTGCGTCCTTCGTCTGGTAGCTGGCCACCTTGAAGCTGCTCAGGTACTCATTGGCCCACATCTCCTTCTGCTCGATGCCCTCCTTGGAGCGGTCCAGCAGCTCGCCGACGGCCTTGTCGTCGTAGTGAATCTCCGTCTGTCTGCCCTCGCCCTCCGTCACGCCCTCCTCGTCCTTGAAGAGCTCCTCCGTGCCGAAGCGGAGAATGTCGTCCAGCTCCTGCTTGGACATGGCGGCACTCGCCCGGCTGCCCATGCCCGGGCGGACCACCAGGTGGGTGAGCATCATCTTCTTCTTCGCCACCTGGGTGATGCGCTCCTCCACGGAGGCCCTCGTCACAAAGCGGTAGATCATGACCTTGTTCGCCTGGCCGATGCGGTGCGCCCGACTGAATGCCTGAATGTCATTGTGCGGATTCCAGTCGCTGTCGTAGATGATGACGGTGTCGGCGGTGGCGAGGTTGATGCCCAGGCCGCCGGCTCGCGTCGAGAGGAGAAAGCAGAACTGCTGCGCGCCGGGCGCGTTGAAGCGGTCGATGGCCTCCTGGCGGAGGGAGCCGGTGATGCCGCCGTCGATGCGCTCGTACTTGTAGTTCTCCCCCTCGAGAAAGTCCTCCAGAATGTCGAGCATCTTGGTCATCTGCGAGAAGACCAGCACGCGGTGGCCCTGGTCGGCGAGCTGGCGCAGCATTCGCTGCATGAGAATCAGCTTGCCGCAGGCCTTCGTCAGCGCCTTCACCTCGTAGGCGCCGTTCTGCAGCTTGGGCGCCTCCGCCGCCGCGCCCGGAAAGAGGTACGGGTGGTTGCAGCACTTCTTCAGGTCCATCATGATGTTGACGAGGGAGACCTGGTGGCCGCCGGCGCCCTTCGAGTTGAGCGCCTCAAAGTTGCGCGTCAGAATGTATTTGTAGTACTTCTTCTGCATGGGCGCCAGGTCGACGCGGACGATGAACTCGCTCTTTGCGGGAATGCCCTTCAGCACGTCCGCTTTCAGGCGGCGCAGGAGGTGGGGCCCGAGAAGGTCATGAAGCTTCTTCACCTGGTCCTCCTTGCTGATGTCAGCGAACTCGTTGAGGAAGCCCTGCATGTCACTGTGTTTTTTGGTTTGTGAGGAAGAAAGGTTAGGGAACAAAGTGTCATAAATCAAAAACTACTTACTGAAAGTTGGCCGAGCTGAGAAAGTTGAGCAGGTGAAAGAGCTCCTCGAGGTTGTTCTGCAGCGGCGTGCCCGTCAGCAACAGCTTGTAGTTGATGCGGTAGGTGTTGAGGACGCGAAAGTACTTGGACTGGTTGTTCTTCAGCCGGTGCGCCTCGTCCACCACCAGAATCTGCCACTCGACGCTGCTCAGAGTGGCGGCGTCGATGCAGTTCAGCTCGTAGCTGGTCAGCAGGACGTGAAATTTGATGGGGTAGTCCTTGCGCATGCGACTCGCCTTTGGCCCCCCGCGCACCGCCCCCTCCTCAAAGCTGAGCTCGTGCTCGCGAATCACCGCCCGACTCTCCTTGTCGCCGATGTAGGTGACCACGTAGAAGTCCGGCGCCCATACCTCAAACTCGCGCTCCCAGTTGATGATGGTGGAGAGCGGGGCGGAGACGAGGAACGGGCCCCGGCAGTGGCCCTCCTTGAAGAGCGAGTAGAGGAAGGCGATGGTCTGGATCGTTTTGCCGAGGCCCATCTCGTCGGCGAGGATGGTGTCAGTGCGGTGGGCCCAGCTGTAGCGCAGCCAGTTGATGCCCTCCAGCTGGTAGGGGTGCATCTCCATGCCGGTGGCGTCAATGTACGGCGGCTGGCGGTCGAGCTTTCTCTTCAGGTCGACGGTGGGCTTGTCCGGCGGGGGACTGTACCGACGAGTTGAGGGGGTGGTGGTAGTTGAAGTAGATGTTTGCTCCTCCAGCTCGCTCTCGCTCCTCTTTGAACTGCCACCTTTGCCGCGGCCCTTGCTTCGAAGGTTGTTGCCTCCCTTTGAGCCGCTCTTTCCACTGCTGGCGACGTACTCCGCCGCCGCCCTCAGGTCCCAGTAGTCGTCGATGGCCTTCTTCATGTCGCTGATCTGAAAGTCCGGGCCGCCGTCCTCCGCCTCCCAGCTGCACTGGTCGTAGGGGAGGTCTCGCCACTTGACCAGGTAGAGGTTGCCGCCGCCGGAGCGAAGCGGCTTGTGGTTGATGATGCGGTGGATGCAGAGCCACTCGGGGCGGATGCCGTAGCGGTAGTACTTCTCCTCGAGATTGACGTCGGAGCGGTCGTAGCGGCGGCGAGCTTTGCGCTTCATGCCCGTCGCAGCGGTCACCTCGCCCTTGGGCTCCTCCTCTTTGATGCCTTCAGATGGAGAGGAGGTACCACCACCGCTTTCGGCTCCTCCCTCAGCTGGAGTGGAAGAGGACGTTGTGGATGTGGTGGTGTCCACCGATGCGGGGATCACCTCGCCGTAGCTGGAGCCGTCGTCCAGCGGTGGCGGCTCGTCCATGTCGTTCTTGCGGCAGTAGTTGCGGTACAGCGAGGGGTGGTGCACCTCCAGCTGCAGCTCGGTGATCCAGCTGCAGTGCCAGTAGCTCATGTCGTGCCACTTGACGAAGAACTCGCGCAGCTTGTGCACCACTGGCTTGCGCTTCGGAGGGGCGATGGGGACAGTTGCAGGACTTGCCTCCTCTTCAGCGCTCTCCTCCGCGGGAATCTCCACAAATCGCCAGTGCATGATCTTCGCCACCTTGCCCTTCAGCGGCTCCACCGAGCACCGCGGACAGCGCCACTCGCCGTCGGGCACGCCTCGCAGCGGCGGGTTCAGACAGTGCGTGTGGTAGGCGAGGGGACAGAGGTCGCAGCACAGGAGCTCGCCGCCGTCCTTGCACACCCGGCAGAACTCCATGTGGTGGTCGTCCTTGGCCTCCTTCGCGGTGCCCCCCTCCTTGTTGGCCTCCTCCGCCTCGAGCTGGTCGGGAATGCCCTCGCCCTCGCAGTGCGGGCAGCTCCACTTGCCCTCGGGCGCCTCCTCCAGCTCCGGCTCCAGGCAGACGAGGTGGTAGGCGCGCGGGCAGGTGTCGCAGAGGATGATCTCGCCGCCCTGCTGACACACCTCGCAGTAGTCCTGGTGGTCGGTCTCGTAGCCACCGTTCTCGTAGTCGGAGTCGTCGCGGCTGGCACTGCTCCCGGGGAAGCTGTCCGTCGTCTTTGTCTTCTTCCGAGCGCCAGTTTTGTTTTTGCTGCTCAGGCTGCTGCCCTTTTTGAAGCCGCCCCCTTTGCCGTGCTTGCTCTTTCCGCCCGACTTTGAGGAGGGCGGCGGCGAGGCGAGCAGCTGCGCCTCTTCCAGAGCCGCCTCAAACTCGACGTCGCTCTTGTTCAGCTCGGAGGGACTGTCCTCTTCCTCTTCGGAGCTGGCGGCGGCGGCCGCTGCTGCGGCTCGCTTTCGCTTGCTCAGCGCGCCCAGCTTGATCTTCAGCGTGGGCACTGATTTGCCCTTGGAGTTGCTGTTGTTGGTAGAGGAAGTTGAGGCGACGGTGGCGGAAACGTCGGTAGCTGTTGCAGCAAAAGAAGAGTTGCTGCTGCCCTTTTTCGACTTTTTGCCCGTTGGCTCGGTGAGGCTGGTGTCCATTGGCTCCTCTTCTAAAACAGAGGGCGACTGAAGATCGGCAGCAGCGACAGATTCAGATGCTTCAGCAGAGTTTGCTGCCGCGGTTGCTGCTGCTGCTGCTTCAGCGGCCGCCGCTGCCGCGGCCATCGTCGAGGGCATGGCGGCGGTAAACTCCCGCCACTTGGCGCTCATGAAGGTCGTCATCTTGGGCATCTGAATCTTTGGATTGCACTTGGCAATCAGCGGGCGAATGTGCTGCGAGAAGAGTTTGTAGCTGGTCAGGTTCTGGTAGTCGACGTCGGTGAACTCGTAGTCGACGTCGACCAGGCCGTGCTCTGCGCAGATCTCCGCCACCGTCTTCTGCGACTTCACCTTCAGACGACGCGACTTGGGCGTGCTGCCCGCCCGTCCCGTGTTCGGGTCGATGATCGGCGCCGATGGGTTGTAGAGGGCGGAGCCGTAGGCGCCCGGGACCTCCTCCTCAAAGTCGTCCCCGAGGTCGTCAAAGTCGTCGTCATCGTCATCGTAATCGTACTCGGCGGCAGCCTTCTTGCGCTTCTTTTTCTTTGATTTGCGCTGTTTGCCTGCGGCGGAGGCTGCCACTGCCGATGAGGATTCCGATGAGTCGCGAAGCTTTCGTTTTTTCAGCTTTTTCGAAGAGGAGGACTGCTTTTCTTGGAGCAGTAGTTGCTCCTGTTCCTCCTCGGCGTTCATCTCCGTCTCAGTGGCGTTGCCGTCGTCTGCGGCGGCTGCTGCTGCTGCTGGCGCCTCGGTGTCGGTGTCCTCCTCCTCCTCTTCCTGGTTGTGGCCACTGTTCCTGTTGTTGTTTTGTTGACCCTCAAAGTCTTCGGAATCTAAAAAGTGAGAAAAAAAGTTAACGGATATTAGCTGATTGTGATAGAAAAAATGCTAAAAAATCACAAAATTGATCCAAATGTAAAATGCAAATACACCGTTCTAATTCCCTCAGAGACGCCCGGGACACATCGATAACAATCGATACCGCTTTTTGCACTGTTTGCAGCGACCGTCTTACACTATTGTCTAGCTCTGCTGAGCGTCGTCGCCGCCGCCGCTGCTGCTGCTGCTGTATTCCCTGCTGTATCCAGTATGCAGCTGCAGCAGCGGGCGGAGCTACCACCACCGCCGCCAATAAAGCCAATAGCACTGGCGAGTGAGGGGGCATAGTTATCCGAATAGTTATCCTCGAGCGACTCGAAATGGCGAGTCTGCCTAATTAGGCGGCGGTGCCGCCGTCTAATTAGTCGGCCCCAGCGACGCCCAGGTCTGCCCTATTCGGTTCGAAGGCAGTAGTAAACAGTGGCCCGGCCGGCTCACGTGTGTCGGGCCAAGGGAAAAGGGCGCCAGTGTTTGGATATTTGAAAATTTGTTGTGCACACACACAACACTATGGGAAATAGAACTGCGAAAGACGTGGACTTACCGTTTCGATGTCTGGTCGCCGTTGCCGCTGGTGAACTGGTGTCCATCGCTTCCGCTTCCGGCTCCGAGTCGGTGTCGTCGTCCTTGGGCGCCATCGAACGGTTTCAGCGAGATGGGAAGAGAGATGTTTCAGGTGGTGGTGGTGATGAAGAGAGAGAGAGAGAGCGGTGATGATCCTTCTCTTCTCACTGTTGGGCTGTCACTGCCTGCACTGCTGTGCAGCCGCAGCCAAGCAAACAAGAGACAGAGTTTAGAGTGGCAGCTGCCACTGTAGCGCTACCTGGTGACTGAAACCAGCAGGCTTTTTGGAGTTTTCTGGTTCTGTTTTTTGGTTTGTATTTTATTTCGCAGTATTTGGAGACTTTTTAAACTTTTTTTATTACATGGCACTTTGCTTGCTTGCATGCTCGTAATTCATGTTGGTGTTTTAGTGGAACTGAAGGTGTTAAGATTGAATGGTTTGTAGTCGGTGTTATATTACAATTTGGTGTATTCATGCAGTGGGAACTTGTGTGTACAAAAGAGAGGTGGTGGGTAACAGGAGTTAGAAGAGAGATGGGTGGGTGTGTTTGTGTGTTGTGACCAGGAGAGTTGATGATGATGATGTTGATGATGGCGCGTTCAGTTATGATTTGTGCTTTCAGTGGTGGTGGTGGTGGTGGTTGTTGTTGCCGGTAGAGTTAACGAATTTTCGTCCATCTCCTCCTTCAGCTCCATCTCCACGGCGTCCTTCTGTGGAAGAACGGGCGGTGGCGGCGGGTCCTTCGTTCTGGTGCGGGTGTACGTTTTAGTGCCCAGACTGACGGTTGGCCTGAAGTTGGCGTCAATCTTGCCCAGCTTAATGGTGCCCGTGTTCGATTGGTTTGTTGTTGTGACTGTGGTGGTGGCGGACTTTACGGCCTTCCGCTTAAAGTCGCTAAAGCTGAAGCGAGAGTAGTCGACGTCTTCTGAATGATCATCGCCATTTTTCATGGCGCCACTTCGAGGGCACTTGGCGTTGGAGTTACTTCGGCGACGCTTGCGCAGCGCCGCCAACTGGTCCACCTGCGCCTCGATCTCCTCAATGTTGATGTCAAAGTCGTTGAACGTTGGCGTCGGCATCTTTTTGGTGCTCACGCTCTTTGGGAAATGTGACTCTAGTCGGGCGGTGAGCTGCCGTTCGGGTGTCTTGACCAGCTTGTCGAATTTGTCACTGGAAAAAGAGCGAAGAGGTAGAGAAGGTTAGAAACTGAAATGGTTTGGTCAGTGCCTGAAGCACTTCAGCACTTACCTAACTTTGCCCACCTTGAGCATCTCCGATATGTGGTCCTTGATGAGCGTGTCCTCGATGTCATTCATCTGACTCTTCATCTGATCGGCGGAGAGTGTGCTCTGGGCGTCGGTGACAAAGAAAGCCGCCTTTCGAGATCGTCTTCGTTGCTGCTGGCGTATCTGATTCAGTGACTCCATCTCCGATCGGGGAATGGCCTTAAGGTGAATGCGACCGTTGGTAATTGGATTGTTCTGGTCCTGGTCCAGGTCGAGGTTGCTGTTGTTGCTGTCTTCACCGTTGGTGGAAGCAACTGCGGTTGTTGTCGAAGCGCCCCTGGTCCCCTCTTCAGTGTTGTCGTCAGCGTCGGCTTCCTCCTCTTCCTTTATCTGGGCAATGGAAGCCCACTTTTCGTCCTCACTGGATGACATTGCTCACTGAAAGCTGTGCTAGTGTGTGTGTGGGCGTCTTGACGTCGTGTGTTCCACCACCAGCGAGTGAGAACCAGGAAGCGATTCAAAAGAGAGAAAATGGAATCCGAATGAAAATAGACCCAAAGTGAGTAGCAGCTGCAGCTGCGGTGAACACAGAAGAGAATCCTCTTCGCTTCAGCCACTGTGTAACCTCTTCTGTGAGTGCGCCGATTTTTTTTTGCGATCGTCGATCCATTTTTTGTTGTCAACAACAAAACAGTTGCGTGTTCTGGAAATTGGAACAGCTTCAGCAGCCACTCTTCAAAAAGAAGTTGAAGTCTTCTTTCGTTAATTATTTTGCAAAAAACAACATTTTCTTGTCTACCCTCAACTCGTTCTTCAGGTGAATAACATCAACAGGAGCACCTCACCGCACTGCGGTCGTTCCTTCAGCCACTGAACCTTGGTAGTTTTTCTGTTTTATTTCTAAAAAGGAGCCCCCTTCGAAGGTGGTGCTATGAGCAGCAGCAACAACAGCGACGAGTTTCAGTCCTTCTACAATGAGGTGAAGTCCATTGAAAAATCCGATTCGAAGTACACCTCCGAGCAGCAGATCACCCGGCTGCTGCGACCGGGCTCCACCTACGCCAACCTCAATCCCTTCGAGGTGCTACTGGTTGACCCGAGCGATCCCGTGGATGCGGCGAAGCGGCAGTACAAGAAGCTCTCCATCCTCCTCCACCCGGACAAGAACCCAAATGACCGGGAGCGGGCGCAGGCGGCCTTTGACGCGCTGACCAAGGCCTACAAGCTGCTGGAGGATGAGAAGAGCCGGGAGAAGGCGCTGGAGGTGGTGGAGGAGGCCCGTCATAAGGTCCGCCAGAGCATCGAGGAGAAGCGGAGGAAGCTGAGAGCTGAACGAAGCTCCAGCAGCAGCAGCATCAGCAGCAGTCACGTTCGCGTGGAGGAGGACGACCCGGAGAAGTACCGGCAGGCGATTCGCGTCATGACGATGAAGCTCTTTGCCGAGTACGAGCGCAAGCGGCGGCTCGCCGAGGACCGCGCTCAGGAGGAGCGGAAGCGGAAGCGCGAGGAGGAGCTTGATGCGGAGCGGGACCGCGAGGCGAACCAGCAGTGGCAGAAGAACTTTGAGGAGAGTCGGCAGAGCCGGGTGACCAGCTGGCAGACCTTCAACAAGAAGGCGAAGACGACGGCGAAGAAGGGCGGCCGGAAAGACATTCGACCGCCGAAGCACAAAGCTGAGGCGAGGAACTAGGCGGCGGCGGCGGCTGAGAATGGGAATTCGAATTTCAATGGTGAATGAATGAACTTTCTCTCTTTCTTTTTTACCCCCACACGCATTAGCACACTTCCTACCGTTTCAAGCTTTTTGTCAAATGTTTCCTTTTTCACCACTGTTTTCTTCTGTTCTCTTCTCTCGAACCTCACACCGGTGCTGTTCATTCTCAGTGGTCCACTGCTACGCCGGTGCTGGACCGCTGGTCCTGATTCATTCACCCAGGTACACAAATTCTGTTTTCTGAATTCCAGAGAGTACCAATGGAACCACCACCACTCACTCATTCGCTGACACTCACTCACTCACTGGCACACACACATATTCCCGCTAATCCTTGATTCCCCCACCCCCACTTCATCAGTATCGCATGTTTGGTCACACAGAGTAAACTGCACAACAACTTCTCGCGATCAATTCTAATCCTTGGACATGATACTTTTTCTTCACCCTCGATCATCAGAAATGGTCGCTCTTTTATGTTTGGCTGGCCAAAGCAGGTTTCGGCGACCACTCAGTTCTGGCTCACCGTTCTTCAATGCGTTCACCGTTCGACCACTGTCCACTACTACCACCACCACCACAGCAGCACTGCTGTCAATGGCCGATGCTGAAGACGACGGTGATGGTGACGACGTCTGCAAACTGAAAAGAGCTTAGCTGAGAGTAGTGTCTCAGAGAGTGAGTAGTGGTGGTTGCCTTGCCACTTTAGATAGTGCTGGTGGTGGTGGCCCACCTGTGCCCATACGGTTCTGACAAAAGATCGACGACGACGACGTCTGTTGCTGGCAAGACACTGTGAGCCTGTTGCTGCTTCTGCTGTTGCCAAACAGCCAGACAGCCGGACGGACAGACAGCTCAGAGAGTTGTTGCCGAGTGAGAGAGAGAGAGAGAGAGAGAGAGAGAGGATAAGAGAAGAAGAAGAAGAAGCAGGCTAATGAAGCCATTCAGCCAACATTACCACCGACTCCAGAAGATACTCTCCTGTGTTGTGAGTGTGTGTTGTGCTCTGCTCGCCGCACTGCTCTCCTGCTCAGAGATTCTCTCCAGTGTGTGAGTTCCCACGCCACCATGATTCACCTTCGTGGTTAGAACTATTCTAGAATCGTCGGACAGTCGGGTCAACAGTAACATCAGCAGCAGCTTTTTGTGCCTTTTTGAAGAGAGGAAGAGGCGATCATGTCCTTCTCTGTCTGTCGAACCGGCGGGGCCGGCGGCGGTGATCAACAGCAGCAACAGCAGCAGCAGTCTCAAATCTTGCCACGCACTTGTTGACACCAGCACCAAATCAGTCACCAAATCAGCAACCAAATCAGCAACCAAATTCAGCGGCAACAGCTATCCAAACAAGCGCTTATACTCCTTTTAGTTTATTGATGTCTGTGTTATCAACTCGCAATCTTCACCCCCTTCCCCATCGTCACCTGTTTCAAAACACTCCCACTCTCCACCCATCATGCACCCCCTCTTCGTGGAGGTGCTCAGCCGGAAGGACCTGAGCCGAGCGGGCGAGCTGTTTGCCATCCACGACCGCGCCATCGTCGGCGACCTCTCCGAGCTGCTGGCCACCATTCAGCGCATCAGCTCCTCTGCCCACTTTGTCCAGCGCCACAATGAGCAGAGCGTCGTCGAGATCTGCCTGACGCGCATCATCAGCGCCATTAGGTAAGTTCTTCTTTGGGGGGAGGAGAAAGCTTTCAAAATGTGATTCGTAATCCAATGTTTCACAAACACACACAGAGACACCAACACCATTGAGGAGAACGCCGGCGCCCTGGTCTCCCTCCTCGAATCCTGCCTTCTGCACGACCTGAAGCCGACCAGCAAGGACCAGGACCCGCCGCACGCAAAGATCGCCAGCGAGGTGGTTTCCTGTATCTTTCTGGTAAGAAAGCCTTTTCTATTGAATCCTTTACCAGTTGATATCCAGGATCTAACCGCTGACAATCGTTTTTAGAACCACAGCAAAAAGTCGGTGATGTGCCTGGCGGTGCCGGTGGCGGTGAAGCTGCTGCACCGGGGCAACCGCGAACTGAGTCGCAACCTCTCCAGCTACCTCTCACTGGCTGCCATCAACAATGGCGACATCCTGGCGGCGCACATTCAGCCCATCATCGACTCGATCATCGGCGGCAACTACGCCCTGGTGCGCGTCCTTCCCAAGATCTACGCCTACAACCGGGAGGCCATTCACGAGCACATCATGGGCCTCGTCTGTCTGCTGTCCGCTCCTTCAGTTTCTTCCTCCTCGACGAAAACTGCTGCCGGGGCCTCTGCTTCCTCCTCTTCAAACATTGGAAACGCCCCCTCTTCCTCCTCCTCCTCCTCTTCCCCCTCAAAGACGGACACCAGCGAACGCGTCGCTCTGCTCAACCTCTTTGCGCTCATTTCGAAGCGAGCCCCCGCCACGCTGGAGTACAGCCTGCCCCAGCTGGCGGACTGCCTCACCAGCCCGCCCACCGCCTACCTGACGCTGCAGATCTTCCTCGACATGGCGCAGGCCAATGTCGCCCCCCTCGGCGACTACACCGCCCGGGTGATGGCCGCCGCCCGGGAGGTGGCCCCCCAGCCAGCCACCGGCTCGATGCTCAGTCTGGCGGCGGAGTTTCTGGGCGTGGTCGGCGCGAAGCTGGGCAGCGAGAGCACCGCCGCCGAGGTGGTCCGCTTTCTGGTGGGGCAGCTGACGACGGCAGGTGGAAGCAGCAAAGTTTCGGTGTCAGCTAATGGCCAGTCCAGCAGCCTCGACCTGGGCACCACCATCGCCCTCCTCCGCCAGACGAAGACCGTCGCCGAGGTGTGGCCCTCGGTGTTGCCGCCGGTGATGGGCGCCATCAGGGCGGCCGTAGAGCGGCACGCCTCCTCCTCCACTACCGTGCAGTCTTATCTGCAACAACTAGGCGCCATCAATGCCACCGCAGCAGCGGCCAGCAACTCTACCTCGACGGCCACCTCCTCTTCAAGGACGTCGGCAAGTGAACTGGCCGGAAGTGGTAGTTACAGGTCAAGTCAGTTTCTTGGAGGAGGGACTTCTGCAGGGATGAACTCGCAGCAGCATCACTCGAGCAGGCTGATGAATGGCCATGGTCAGAACAACATCAGCTTAGAGGGCGGCAGCTTTATCAACACCACCACTGCGGCCAATTTCAATGGTCGACCAGCTGGCAGCAGGCTCACTTCGAATGGTTTTCACATTCTCCACCGAAGCATCCCTCGACTGCACGTCGTCAGTGGCCATCACGGCGGAGTAATGGGCGGAGGAGGAGGTAATGGTTCTAATAATGGAAGTGGTGGAAATGGGAGCAACTCCCACGGCGGCAACTCCATTCACATGCACCGGTCGCTGAACGCCCTGGTCGCCTCCTCAAACTCCTCCTCCTCAAATGTCCCTTCAAACTCTCATCCTCTTCACAGCAGTAATCACCAGCAGCAGCACCATCTGTTTCAGAATCATCAGAGCGTTCATCAGCCCATCAACTCCCATCACCACCACCACAACCGCTACGCGGCTAATCGAATGTCCGTCGAGTCGATTTCTCATCCTTCTGCTGCTGCTGCTTCAAGTCAGAGGAGTTCACAGAAGAGCGCCTCCTCCTCCTACCTTCTCGCCCTGCAGGAGAAGGAGTTGAGGACGGTTGGAGCAGGCTCAAAGTCCTGCAAGCTGTCCTCGTATCAGCCTCACCACTACCACCAGCAGCACCATCACCATCAGATGACGGGCAGC